ATTAGTTTCTCAATGAGCAACCAATACTTCTAGCCTCCCTCCCTCCCATTCATCCTGCATCAGATTAGACTTACAGCATTTTACCCATTCTCTCCAATTCTTCGCACTCACATAATTTCTACATTTTAATTTCATAATTTCTACCTTTTTTGTTTGGGTGGGTATTTTGCCCACCTCTTTGCCATGCCAATTCCTACAGCTGTTTCCAAAATGATCATTATCTAGTGGGTTTTCTCTTTATAGCAACACATCCTATCCATTGATATTTGTGCCTCCTAATCATCTTAATGTTGCCTGTCACTTCATTTTGCCGCATCCGTTAGTCTGGTTTCCTAGCCAGCAATGTGCATTAACATTGTTATCCTCACCATTCTTTTTGATGGTGTCAAGCATCAATGCTATTTTCTTGATGAGGATTTATGGCTTTGAACTATAGATCACCATAAAAAAATATTAGCCAGTAAAGTGTTGGAAAGAGATTTACTGACTTCAAAAGAGTGCATCTCCTTATTTGCTAAGCTTCTCTTGGAATTTAAGAGGAAAACACTGAACTAGAATGAAATGTGCATCAATATATGTTATTTTTTTTAAATAAGGTGGGGGGGATGATTTTTTTCTTAAAGACATGAAGGGGAGTGAACATCTATCACCTTTAAACAATTTTCAAAGAGTTGCAGAGGGATTGTGCTACAGTAGTTTACTCTATTCCCCTTTCTTTTGTTTTTTTCCAAAATAATCTTGTGAAGCTCATGTGGCTGTACATTTCTCAAGTGAACATAACACTAAAACTGCATTAGCTCCACATTTCTTAAAACAGGAACTTATTGTAAGAAGTTATTACTTAAATTCCATATTTTAAGATGAACATGTCAAGTAGTGAAAAAATCCAATAGCTGAATTGTCTTTGAGATCAATTACTGCAGTGAAATCACGTATTAAGTATGTTGGTAATCTCTTTCTAGGTGCTAAGCTAGTGATCAATAAGTCTTTAGTTTCTTAGATCTCATTTATCACCTTTCTTATGTAAAACAGTAGTATTACACCAATTCGCATGCCCTTTGTTTGCTCAAATGCATTCTGTAAACGTCAGTTATTTCTAAAGACTTCCCTGTGCTTTAGAAAAAGATATCTAAATCAATATTGCCACACTGGCTATTTTCTTTCTTCATCAGTTATTCTACTTAGGCAATTACTTTATTATAATAGATAATAGTTTACTTACAACATGTTATAAAAATCCTTACCCAGCTTGTTGAATGGAGGTGAAAAAAATTAGGTTGTATCAGTGCAGTAGATGATTTGTTAAGTAATATTTTGCAATATATTTACATTAAAATCTGCACAACTATAAACCTCAAAAACATGTTTCAAATTAAAGAAGTACAGAAACATGTTTGAAAATCCTTAACTATTACTTTGGATATCTAGCTGCAAGACAGAAGGTGTTTATATGGTAAAATACTGTAAAAACAGGATGAACAAGTATTTGCATTATCTTAATGACAGTACTGCTGCTAGATGCCACAATACAATTATGCCAGTGTAGTTCATGTCACTATGGCTCTTAATATAGCTAATTTTGTTTCGGAGGAAAGAGAGGTGCTTGCTCTGCTCTTCCCTGATGTATGTATTTAACTCATATAATTAATGTTAATCAGAGTTTTAAGCATGGTTTGTGGAAAGAATAGAGCATTTGTCATAGAAAAATTGGAATTGAAGGGAAGAGGCAGAAGTGACCACCAATGTTTTCTTTTCATCATTCACTGTCTTCTCTCTTTTTCTACCCTTATTTTTCTTAAGCATATTCTACAATATTTAGAAATATGACATTTTTGAGACTTTCCTTTCAATCTAATATCCCAGGGGTCGGCAACGTTCAGCACGCGGCTCGCCAGGGTAAGCACCCTGGCAGGCCGGGCCAGTTTTATTTACCTGCTGACGCGGCAGGTTCGGCCGATCGCGGCCCCCACTGGCCGCGGTTCGCCGTCCCGGGCCAATGGGGGCGGCGAGAAGCCGCGGCCAGCACATCGCTCGCCCTCGCTGCCCCCATTGGCCCGGGACGGCGAACCGCGGCCAGTGGGGGCCGCGATCGGCCGAACCTGCCGCGTCAGCAGGTAAATAAAACTGGCCCGGCCTGCCAGGGTGCTTACCCTGGCGAGCCGCGTGCTGAACGTTGCCGACCCCTGTAATATCCTATACTTATCGCCATGCTCATCAAGAAGGGAAACCATGCCACGCTTGATCAGACCCAGCTTTCCTAGGTTACATGTCCAATGCAGCTAGTTCCTACAGTCCTGGGATACTGTAGCAAGCACTATGATAATACCAATACTTAATCTTCTTTCCAACTTTACATTTAAAGAGTCCTTCCTTCAGATGTTGCCATATACTCTTCAGTCTTATCTCCATTTGCCCTCACTTTCGTAGTTTAAAAACCAGCTAACAAAGAACTGATTTCATACTTCTGAGTTTACTAATACAAGCTACATAGACTAATAAGTAGTTCACAGCAGTGCCCTTTATTAACTTGTTTCTACTCATTTTAATGCAAGTCTCTGCTATTGAAGTAGTACGATTCTAAACTTACATAGAGGCCCATTTCTTCATGTGAATGACTACTGTAAAT